TGATCTGTCTTTATAATCATTGAAGACAAACCTGGCTGCCTTACGCTGTACCTGCTCAACCTGAGTGATGTGTTGCTTTTTGTACGGATCCCATACAGGGGAAGAGTATTCGACGACTGGACGGACAAGTGATGTGTACGTAAGGTTTTTAACCTTACGTGTGCAGTTTTTTAAATTCCTACGAAGAAAACCTAAGGTTTTATTTGCCTTACAGGTAATATTGTTTATATGTGTTCCCCAATCAAGATCATGGCTTATAGTTACACCTAAATATTTACTATCTTTTACTGCTTCTAAAACATGATTGTGCAATATATAATCAAAAGTGGAAGGTTTACTTTTTTTAGAAATATGAATAACATAACACTTCTCAGGATTAAAATTCATTTGCCAGTCCTCTTCCCGTTGTACTAAACTAGATAAATCTTTTTGAAGTAATTTGGCATCAGAACTGTTATTAACATTTCTATACAATAAACAGTCATCTGCAAAAAGTCTTGCATTGCAAGTTACATGTTCGGGTAGGTCATTAATAAAGAGTAAAAATAATGTTGGGCCTAAAACTGTTCCCTGAGGGACACCAGAATCAACAGCTAATTTTGAAGATTTAACACCATTTAATAGTACCTGCTGTTGCCTGTCAGCTAAAAAGTCATTTATCCAATTTAAATTTTGATTCCTAATACCATAAAAGTTTAATTTCTGGGCTAATCTTTGATGGGGGACTTTATCGAAAGCTTTGGAAAAATCTAAAAGTATAACATCTATTTGGTTACCATATCCCAATGATTTTGCAAGATCTTGTAAACTGATGATAAGTTGGGTCTCACAAGACCTTTTACTTCTAAACCCATGTTGACTATCATTTAATATGTTATTAATTGTAAGATGTTTCCTTATGTTGCTTGTTATAATGTGTTCTAGAATTTTGCAACATATTGCAGTTAGTGAAACTGGTCTATAATTAATAGCGTTATGCTTGTCACCTTTTTAGCTCACCTGGCCCGAAGGGCCAAGTGAGCTTTTCTCATCACTTGGCGTCCGTCGTCGTCGTCGGCGTTAACTTTTTACATTTTGAACTTCTTCTAGAGAACCACTGAATGGAATGAAACCAAACATGGCATGAATGTTCCTTATGAGGTGCTGACCAAGTGTTGTTACTTTGTAGCCGATCCATCATCCAAGATGGCCGCCAGCGGGGGACTTAGTTTAACATAGGACCCTATGGGAAATGCATACAAATGACTTCTTTTAGAGAACCACTGAATGGAATGAAACCAAACATGGCATGAATGTTCCTTATGAGGTGCTCACCAAGTGTTGTTACTTTGTAGCCGATCCATCATCCAAGATGGCCGCCAGCGGGGGACTTAGTTTAACATAGGACCCTATGGGAAATGCATACAAATGACTTCTTTTAGAGAACCACTAAATGGAATAAAACCAAACATGGCATGAATGTTCCTTATAAGGTGCTGACCATGTGTTGTTACTTTGTAGCCGATCCATCATCCAAGATGGCTGCCATCTGGGAACTTAGTTTAACATAGGACCCTATGGGAAATACATACAAAAGTCTTCTTTTAGAGAACCACTGAATGGAATGAAACCAAACATGGCATGAATGTTCCTTATGAGGTGCTGACCAAGTGTTGTTACTTTGTAGCCGATCCATCATCCAAGATGGCAGCCAGCGGGGGACTTAGTTTAACATAGGACCCTATGGGAAATACATAAAAAAGTCTTCTTTTAGAGAACCACTGAATGGAATAGAACCAAACATGGCATGAATGTTCCTTATGAGGTTCTGACCAATGAGATGCTGACCAAGTGTTGTTACTTTGCAGTTGGTCCATCATCCAAGATGGCCGCCAGCGGGGGACTTAGTTTATCATAGGACCCTATGGGAAATACATACAAATGTCTTCTTTTAGAGAACCACTGAATGGAACGAAACCAAACATGGCATGAATGTTCCTTATGAGGTTCTGACCAAGTGTTGTTACTTTGTAGCCGATCCATCATCCAAGATGGCCACCAGCGGGGGACTTAGTTTAACATAGGACCCTATGGGAAATACATACAAATGTCTTCTTTTAGAGAACCACTGAATGGAATGAAACAAACATGGCATGAATGTTCCTTATGAGGTGCTGACCAAGTGTTGTTACTTTGCAGTAGGTCCATCATCCAAGATGGCCGACAGCAGGGGACTTAGTTTAACAAAGGACCTATGAGAAATACATACAAATGTCTTCTTTTAGAGAACCACTGAATGGAATGAAATCAAACATGGCATGAATCTTCCTTATGAGATGCTGACCAAGTGTTGTTACTTTGTAGCCGATCCATCATCCAAGATGGCCGCCAGCGGGGGACTTAGTTTTATATAGGACCCTTTGGGAAATACATAAAAATGTCTTCTTTTAGAGAACCAATAAATGGAATGGAACCAAACATGGCATGAATGTTCCTTATGAGATGTTGACCAAGTGTTGTTACTTTGCAGCCGATCCATCATCCAAGATGGCCGCCAGCGGGGGACTTAGTTTAACATAGGACCCTATGGGAAATACATACAATTGTCTTCTTTTAGAGAACCACTGAATGGAATTGAACCAAACATGGCATGAATGTTCCTTATGAGTTGCAGACCAAGTGTTGTTACTTTGCAGTCGATCCATCATCCAAGATGGCCGCTAGGGGGGGGGCTTAGTTTTACATAGGACCCTATTGGAAATACATACAAATGTCTTCTTTTAGAGTACCACTGAATGGAATGAAACCAAACATGGCATGAATGTTCCTTATGAAGTGCTGACCAAGTGTTGCTACTTTGTTGCCGATTTACTGTTCAAGATGGCCACCAGGATATTTTGTTAAATAACGGGACCAATATTAATCAAAATTTGGCCTCAATCATTATTTTGGTATCTGTTATGATTTTTATCTATCTTTACATGATTTCTAAAACCAAAGTAGAGTCAGGTGAGCGACACAGGCTCTTGAGAGCCTCTAGTTTAAATATTGGTACAACATTAGCCTGCTTCCAATCAGTTGGGATTTTACCAGTATCAATAGATTTTTGGAGAAAGAATGTCAAAAATGGAGACAATTCTTCTGCAAAATTATGTAAAAAATATGCTGGCAGATTATCAGGGCCAGTGGCTTTGTGTGGATTTAAGTTTTTAAGTAACTTTAATAAGCCATTATTACTAAACTATAATTAAATATAAAAATGAGAATTTCGTGTAATCGACAATGAGACAACTATCCATTAACTGCGGGACGTAGCTCTTATAGTCATTTGAGGTATTGTTTTTGAATTTACGGACCGCTGCTAACTATATCCACCCGAGTGCGATAATACTCAGAGGACTGCACTGTATTGACTATTGGAAGAAGAGCCGGTCGAGTAAGAAAAACAACAATTAAGCATGTTACAAGTGCAAACCGTACATCATCTGAGATGAAATTTGGAAAGTAGGCTTGGTATGTGTCTAATAACATTTTGTCTTACCTTAATACCAATTCAAACCCAATGTTCCTGTGATATTGTTGATCATTATCAAGGCTGTTGCAGACAAAAATGGCCGTTTTAGGATAGATCTCACATCACGTGACGTGTTATGGTTTGTAATTACAGTTGTCTCCCCTTAAAAGATGGCGGGAGCTTTAAAATCTGTACTGAACACATTTCGGCAAAATCCTAACTTTTTATCATACAGATTAAGGAGAGAGCAAAACAAGGCCTCATCAACGAAATAGTTGCTAGATATACCCATTCAGCATGTGCACGAATCCGGGTCCGTTCGCCCTGATTCACGTTCGCCCAGGGTCCATTCGCCCTGATTAACAGTGATTTTATTTTTAGTCCCATACCGACGAACTCGAAGGGGACTTTAGGTTTGCACTCCGTCCGTCTGTCTGTCTGTCTGTCCGTCTGTCAGTCTGGCCACAGGAATCGGAAATTCTATCAATAAAATTCTGTAAATGATAAAGTCGACTATCAATAGAGCTTCTCGTAGATAAGATATTGATTCGAAAATTGGTAAATAGTTTTATCATGACAAGTTACAGATCAAGTTAGAATTTTGTTCCGGTCTGCTGAATTTGTGCAGAGTTATGGTCCTTGGCCTTAGAAAATTCACTTAAATAATCAGTTTTCAACACTTTACGTCATGCTTGAATATATTGACTTGATATTTTTATATAGTTTACACCATGACAAGTTATAGATCAAGTTAGAATTTTGTTCCAATACAATGAATTTTTAACCGGTAGGGGACTATGTATTGCCATGCAATACTCACAGAATGCTTGTTTAGAAAGGAATTATTTTTTTTCAGATCCACATCACATACGTTAACAGATGAAGTACCAGTCTCTGGTAATAATGAAGATGATACTTTGGTATTTAGTCTAAGTTTTTTGTAGAAATTTGTCTTGAGGAAGAAAATTTTTTAAATAGATTAGCATTCCTACAATGAAAGGAGTCAAAAAAGTACATAAAAAAAAATATTTGGTTAATTTACACATAAAATATTCCAGATTAGACCAGGATAATCAATCTGTCATATGGTTTTATTCTTAAAGTTATTACAGTCTGTGCCAAAAACTTTTCTAAGCACTAGCCCATATGGCTAGTTGAATAAAAAAAATACTATCCCTAATTGATGTTTACTAGACCTGAAAAATTTTGTGTCACTGGTGAGGATCACGAAGTGATCCGAACCTTCTAGGGGGGTTTGGGGGCATGCCCCCCCCACAAGAAAATTTTGGAAAATTAGATGTAAAATCCTGCATTCTGAGGTTACATTTTTATACGACCGCAAAAAAATTTTTGTGGTCGTATATTGGTATGACGTTGGCGTCGTCGTCGTCGTCGTTGTCTGGCGTCGTCCGGCGTCGTCCGAAGACACATTGGTTTTCGCACTCTAACTTTAGTTTAAGTGAATGGATCTCTATGAAATTTTACCACAAGGTTCAATACCACAAAAGAAAGGGGTTATGGTACCAACAGTAAAGGAATTAGGGGCCAAAAATAAGCATTTTTGTAACTTCCAGACATAACTTGTGTGTTAGTGTATGGATCTCTGTGACATTGTACCACAAGGTTCCATATCACAAAAGGAATGCTGGGATTGATTTTGGGGGTAATTGCCTCAAAATTTTAGGAATTAGGGGCCAAAAACAAGCATTTTTCTAGTTTCATGACAATAACTTGTGTGTAAGTGTATGGATCTTTCTGAAATTGTACTACAAAGTTCCATATCACAAAGGGAAAGCTGGAATTGAGTTTGGGGGTAATTGCCGAAACGTTTAGGAATTGGGGGCCAAAAATAAGCATTTTTCTAGTTTCCAGACAATAACTTGTGTTCAAGTGTATGGATCTCTCTGAAATTGTACTGCAAGGTACCATACCACAAAGGGAAGACTGGGATTGATGATGGGGGTAATTGCCTCAATATTTTAGGAATTAGGGGCCAGAAAGGGGCAAAAAACAAGTATTTTTCTAGTTTCAGGACAATAACTTGTGTGTAAGTGTATGGATCTTTCTGAAATTGTACTACAAGGTTCCATATCACAAAGGGAAAGCTGGGTTTGAGTTTGGGGGTAATTGCCCTAAACGTTTAGGAATTTGGGGCCAAAAAACACATTTTTCTAGTTTCCAGACAATAACGTGTTCAAGTTTATGGATCTCTCTGAAATTGTACTGCAAGGTACCATACCACAAAGGGAAGGCTGGGATTGAGTTTGGGGGTGATGAATCATAAGGGGGTTCAAAAAATTTGGGGGGGGATTTTTTTTTTTTTCCTTTTTTTTTCTTTTAAAATTTTCCATTTTAAGTTGGTTATTTCTGATTTATATTTAAAAGCAAATAATAATGATATGGTAGGAGATACACACCAAACAGGATGTGTAAATTATTAAATAATAAGTATTGTGCAATAGCAAGAAATTTTCAATTGCACAGTATTGCACAATAGCAAGAAATCTTCAATTGCACAGTATTGTGCAATAGCAAGAAATCTTCAATTGCACAGTATTGCGCAATAGCAAGAAATATCCAATAGCACAATATTGCGCAATAGCAAGAAATTGTCAATTGTACAGTATTGCGCAATAGCAAGAAATATTTAATTGCACAGTATTGTGCAAAAGAAGATACTTCGTATAAATTGCTTATTTCTTGACCAATTTCAATGGGGTTTTATTCTTGAATTCTTGGGGTTCTTTAATATGCTGAATCTAACCGTGTATTTAGTTTTTGGATTTTGGGCCCCGTTTTTAAATTGGTCCACATTGAGGTCAAAAGGGTCCAAAATTAAACTTAGTTTGATTTTAACAAAAATTGAATTCTTAGGGTTCTTTGATATGCTGAATCTAAACATGTATTTAGATTTTTGATTATGGGCCCAGTTTTCAAGTTGGTCCAAATCGGGGTCCAAAATTAAACTTTGTTTGATTTCAACAAAAATTGAATATATGGGGTTCTTTGATATGCTGAATCTAACCATGTACTTAGATTTTTGATTTTTGGGCCCCTTTATCAACTTTGTCCACATTGAGGTAAAAAGGGTCCAAAATTAAACTTTGTTTGATTTCATCAAAAATTGAATTCTTGGGGTTCTTTGATATGCTGAATCTAACCATGTATTTAGATTTTGGATATTGGACCATAATAGGTGAATGTCCAATTTAAAATTTTTAAGTTCTTAGACCACATTCATTCTGTGTCAGAAACCTATGCTGTGTCAAATATTTAATCACAATCCAAATGCAAAGCTGTATCAAGCTTGAATGTTGTCCATACTTGCCCCAACTGTTCAGGGTTCGACCTCTGCGGTCGTATCAAGCTGCGCCCTGCGGAGCATTTTATTAGAATATATTACTACTCTAATGTCTTTCTAAACATTATTTCTTCAAAATGGATGCATTTTTTCAAAAATATAGGCTAAAACTGAATGATAGCTCTGCACCTGGCTATAATGGGCAGTGTCAAATTTGGACAGGTTTATGTACACCTAATGGCAAATATGGGGTTATTAATTGTAAATTTCCAGATGCCAGAGGGTGGAGACAAATGCATGTGCACAGGCTTGCCTACATGGTGCATCATCAGAATATTTTTATTGATAAAACTTTTGATGTTTCGCATCTGTGCCACAATTGGAAATGCATTACTGTCGAACATCTGTCGTCGGAACCTCATGGTTTCAGCAACAGCCGACAGTCATGCGTTTCAACACGTTCCTGCTTGGGCCACCCAGATCCCCTCCCTCCGTGCAGAGTGGAGTTAAAAATGGACAATAATAATTTGGGTAAAATATTAAATGGGTACATTTATTATACGACCGCAAAAATTTTTGCGGTCGTATATTGGTATGACGTTGGCGTCGTCCGAAGACACATTAGTTTAAGTGAATGGATCTCTATGAAATTTTACCATAAGGTTCAATACCACAAAAGGAAGGTTGAGATTGATTTTGGGGGTTATGGTACCAACAGTTAAGGAAAAAGGGGCCAAAAATAAGCATTTTTGTAACTTCCAGACATAACTTGTGTGTTAGTGTATGGATATCTCTGAAATTGTACCACAAGGTTCCATATCACACAGGGAATGCTGGGATTGATTTTGGGGGTAATTAACTCAAAATATTAGGAATAAGGGCCCAAAAAAGGGGCAAAAACAAGCATTTTTCTAGTTTCATGACAATAACTTGTGTGTAAGTGTATGGATCTTTCTGAAATTGTACTACAAGGTTCCATATCACAAAGGGAAAGCTGGAATTGAGTTTGGGGGTAATTGCCCAAAATGTTTAGGAATAATGGGCCAAAAATAAGCATTTTTCTAGTTTCCAGACAATAACTTGTGTTCAAGTGTATGGATCTCTCTGAAATTGTACTGCAAGGTACCATACCACAAAGGGAATGCTGGGATTGAGTTTGGGGGTGATGAATCATAAGGGGGTTCAGAAAATTTGGGGGGGGGGGATTTTTTTTTTTTTTTTCCTTTTTTTCTTTTTTTCCTTTTTTTTTTCTTTTAAAATTTTCCATTTTAAGTTGGTTATTTCTCTGTTTTATATTTAAAAGCAAATAATAATGATATGGTAGGAGATACACACCAAACAGGATGTGTAAATTATTATATAAAAAGTATTGTGCAATAGCAAGAAATTTTCAATTGCACAGTATTGCACAATAGCAAGTAATCTTCAATTGCACAGTATTGCGCAATAGCAAGAAATCTTCAATTACAAAGTATTGTGCAATAGCAAGAAATATCCAATAGCACAATATTGCGCAATAGCAAGAAATTGTCAATTGTACAGTTTTGCGCAATTGCAAGAAATATTCAATTGCACAGTATTGTGCAAAAGAAGATACTTCGTATAAGTTGCTTATTTCTTGACCAATTTCAATGGGGTTTTATTCTTAAATTCTTGGGGTTCTTAAATATGCTGATTCTAACCGTGTATTAAGTTTTTGTATTTTGGGCCCCGTTTTTAAATTGGTCCACATTGAGGTCCAAAGGGTCCAAAATTAAACTTTGTTTGATTTCATCAAAAATTGAATTATTGGGGTTCTTTGATATGCCGAATCTAACTGTGTATTCAGATTCTTAATTTTTGGTTCCGTTTTCAAATTGGTCTACATTAAGGTCCAAAGGGTCCAAAATTAAACTTAGTTTGATTTTAACAAAAATTGAATTCTTAGGGTTCTTTGATATGCTGAATCTAAACATGTATTTAGATTTTTGATTATGGGCCCAGTTTTCAAGTTGGTCCAAATCGGGGTCCTAAATTAAACTTTGTTTGATTTCAACAAAAATTGAATATATGGGGTTCTTTGATATGCTGAATCTAACCATGTATTTAGATTTTTGATTTTTGGGCCCCATTATCAACTTTGTCCACATTGAGGTAAAAAGGGTCCAAAATTAAACTTTGTTTGATTTCATCAAAAATTGAATTCTTGGGGTTCTTTGATATGCTGAATCTAACCAAGTATTTAGATTTTGGATATTGGACCATAATAGGTGAATGTCCAATTTAAAATTTTTAAGTTCTTAGACCACATTCATTCTGTGTCAGAAACCTATGCTGTGTCAAATATTTAATCACAATCCAAATGCAAAGCTGTATCAAGCTTGAATGTTGTCCATACTTGCCCCAACTGTTCAGGGTTCGACCTCTGCGGTCGTATCAAGCTGCGCCCTGCGGAGCATTTTATTAGAATATATTACTACTCTAATGTCTTTCTAAACATTATTTCTTCAAAATGGATGCATTTTTTCAAAAATATAGGCTAAAACTGAATGATAGCTCTGCACCTGGCTATAATGGGCAGTGTCAAATTTGGACAGGTTTATGTACACCTAATGGCAAATATGGGGTTATTAATTGTAAATTTCCAGATGCCAGAGGGTGGAGACAAATGCATGTGCACAGGCTTGCCTACATGGTGCATCATCAGAATATTTTTATTGATAAAACTTTTGATGTTTCGCATCTGTGCCACAATTGGAAATGCATTACTGTCGAACATCTGTCGTTGGAACCTCATGGTTTCAACAACAGCCGACAGTCATGCGTTTCAACACGTTCCTGCTTGGGCCACCCAGATCCCCTCCCTCCGTGCAGAGTGGAGTTAAAAATGGACAATAATAATTTGGGTAAAATATTAATTGGGTACATTTATTATACGACGCAAAAATTTTTGCGGTCGTATATTGGTATGACGTTGGCGTCGTCGTCGTCGTCTGGCGTCGTCCGAAGACACATTAGTTTAAGTGAATGGATCTCTATGAAATTTTACCATAAGGTTCAATACCACAAAAGGAAGGTTGGGATTGATTTTGGGGGTTATGGTACCAACAGTTAAGGAAAAAGGGGCCAAAAATAAGCATTTTTGTAACTTCCAGACATAACTTGTGTGTTAGTGTATGGATATCTCTGAAATTGTACCACAAGGTTCCATATCACACAGGGAATGCTGGGATTGATTTTGGGGGTAATTAACTCAAAATATTAGGAATAAGGGCCCAAAAAAGGGGCAAAAACAAGCATTTTTCTAGTTTCATGACAATAACTTGTGTGTAAGTGTATGGATCTTTCTGAAATTGTACTACAAGGTTCCATATCACAAAGGGAAAGCTGGAATTGAGTTTGGGGGTAATTGCCCAAAATGTTTAGGAATAATGGGCCAAAAATAAGCATTTTTCTAGTTTCCAGACAATAACTTGTGTTCAAGTGTATGGATCTCTATGAAATTGTACTGCAAGGTACCATACCACAAAGGGAATGCTGGGATTGAGTTTGGGGGTGATGAATCATAAGGGGGTTCAGAAAATTTGGGGGGGGGGGGGATTTTTTTTTTTTTTCCTTTTTTTCTTTTTTTCCTTTTTTTTTTCTTTTAAAATTTTCCATTTTAAGTTGGTTATTTCTCTGTTTTATATTTAAAAGCAAATAATAATGATATGGTAGGAGATACACACCAAACAGGATGTGTAAATTATTATATAAAAAGTATTGTGCAATAGCAAGAAATTTTCAATTGCACAGTATTGCACAATAGCAAGTAATCTTCAATTGCACAGTATTGCGCAATAGCAAGAAATCTTCAATTACAAAGTATTGTGCAATAGCAAGAAATATCCAATAGCACAATATTGCGCAATAGCAAGAAATTGTCAATTGTACAGTTTTGCGCAATTGCAAGAAATATTCAATTGCACAGTATTGTGCAAAAGAAGATACTTCGTATAAGTTGCTTATTTCTTGACCAATTTCAATGGGGTTTTATTCTTAAATTCTTGGGGTTCTTAAATATGCTGATTCTAACCGTGTATTAAGTTTTTGTATTTTGGGCCCCGTTTTTAAATTGGTCCACATTGAGGTCCAAAGGGTCCAAAATTAAACTTTGTTTGATTTCATCAAAAATTGAATTATTGGGGTTCTTTGATATGCCGAATCTAACTGTGTATTTAGATTCTTAATTTTTGGTTCCGTTTTCAAATTGGTCTACATTAAGGTCCAAAGGGTCCAAAATTAAACTTAGTTTGATTTTAACAAAAATTGAATTCTTAGGGTTCTTTGATATGCTGAATCTAAACATGTATTTAGATTTTTGATTATGGGCCCAGTTTTCAAGTTGGTCCAAATCGGGGTCCTAAATTAAACTTTGTTTGATTTCAACAAAAATTGAATATATGGGGTTCTTTGATATGCTGAATCTAACCATGTATTTAGATTTTTGATTTTTGGGCCCCATTATCAACTTTGTCCACATTGAGGTAAAAAGGGTCCAAAATTAAACTTTGTTTGATTTCATCAAAAATTGAATTCTTGGGGTTCTTTGATATGCTGAATCTAACCAAGTATTTAGATTTTGGATATTGGACCATAATAGGTGAATGTCCAATTTAAAATTTTTAAGTTCTTAGACCACATTCATTCTGTGTCAGAAACCTATGCTGTGTCAAATATTTAATCACAATCCAAATGCAAAGCTGTATCAAGCTTGAATGTTGTCCATACTTGCCCCAACTGTTCAGGGTTCGACCTCTGCGGTCGTATCAAGCTGCGCCCTGCGGAGCATTTTATTAGAATATATTACTACTCTAATGTCTTTCTAAACATTATTTCTTCAAAATGGATGCATTTTTTCAAAAATATAGGCTAAAACTGAATGATAGCTCTGCACCTGGCTATAATGGGCAGTGTCAAATTTGGACAGGTTTAT